GAGAGGCTAGCCGATGCTCAGAGCCGATTTTAGCTCCCTATCCCGTTTGTTTTAGATTAGGTGTTCTGGAGCAGTGTTATTTTCCCACAAATGATACGAGCCTGGCGTGTAACTGGTGGCTGAAGAGCAGAAGAAATGCAATTGGCTAAAATCGTTAGATTTTAACTGATTGCAATTATCATTAGCCCGTGGAGTTTGAATTTCGTACGGATGCCTCTGCCTGTGAGAAGGAGCCTGTGCCGTGTCCCTGCGCTGCTCCACCACCTCAGAAATACCTCAGAATGTGCTGGTTCGGTCTATTCCTAAGGAACAGCTTCCGTATTGTCTGCTCGGGGATCCGAAGGAGCAGAATGTGTTTCCGTCCTATTTTGTACCTGTTCTCCTCCTGCCTCCTCCCCAATCGGCCAACTTGTGCGCCCAGTGCAGAGCCAGAGTTTAATATGCCGTGAGTGAGGGTTTGTTAATTAAGTGATAGGTCTCCATTAATTTGTCCCTGGAGAACGCGAGACAGTCGATCCGAGTTGGAGTCGGGGTCACTGATCCGTTTCACGGATAAAAATAAGGGAAGGGCCAAATCTTTCTCCTTTCGAGTACACAAATGTTCCTGCGCTTTCGGCTGGAGCGACTGTGGGAATTGGGAGCTGCTGCCTGATCACTGAGGACCCAGCCGTGTTTCCTTGCCGGCTTTCGGCTACCCTCCTCGTTCCCGAAGCCTAAAGTAGCGCTAGAAAGGGAGCCTAACGTGGACCTTTCCTCCACGCCGTAGCTCTCCTCGCGGTGCACAGCAGCGGGAGGACGTTGCTCTCCTCCACTCCTGCAGAGCCAGTTTCAAAGGTCTGGTCTGCTAGAAAATGCCCTTTCCTCCTTCCCTTTCTCAACAACAACCCCCACGAGAAGTAAACCCTCGTCTTGCTGGTGCTATCCAGATGAGGAGGATGGAGTTTGTGTTTCTAGTATCCCCTTAACGATTGCTAAGGCGAACTTCCTTCGATTTGGAGTGTATTTTTACGACAATTCGGTCGACCTGAATCTCCACTCATTTGCATAGATCGATACTGGAAACAACCCCTCGCGCTGGAGTCTGCTGGCATCCCCCTCCTGGCGCGGCGGGCCGGGAGGCTCTGCCAGCCGGGGCTGC